GTTCTAGTTTAAAAACAGATGGTGGCCTAGGAAACCAAACTTGCAAAAGCTAGGCCACCTCGTTAAAATGACATAGAAAACACATTGGGCTCATGTTAGGCCATTTCTAGGTCAAAAATAGATGGTGGCCTAGAAAACCCAACTTAAAAAAGTTAGGCCGCTACGTTAAACCGACCTAAAAACACACCAGGTGCATGTCAGGCCATTTCTAGGCCAGCAATAGCTGGTTGCCTAGAAAACCCAACTTGCAAAAGTTAGGCCACGTCGTAAAAATGACCTAGAAAACACACCAGGGTCATGTTAGGCCACTTCTTGGTCGTTTTGGCATGGTGGCCTAGAAACCTCAACTTGCAAAAGTTAGACCATCATGTCAAAACGACCTAGAAAACACACCAGGGTCATGTAAGGCCATTTCTAGGCCAAAAATAGCTGGTGGCCTAGAAAATCCCAACTTGCAAATGCTAGGCCACCACTTCGAAATGTATTCGTCTCGAAAAATTTCTCGAAGCCGTTTCGAAAGGATACACTGCTCCGTACTCACCGAAAATGCAAATCGCAAAATCGACACTTGAATGGCTGCTCTCCAGTGTGAATTCTCATATGAATCACCAACGTCTTCTTCTCAAAGAACTCCTTCTGGCACACGGTACACTGGATCTGAGGTGGTTCGTCCGAATGTGTTGCCATGTGATTTTTCAGTGTGCTCTTCAATCGGAACCCTTTTCCACATTCCGGGCAAATGAAATCTTTTTTTCCAGTATGGATTTTCATATGCCGATCCAAATCGTTTTTCCGGGTCAGGATCTTTGAGCAAACTGTGCATTGATGTCCTTTTTTAGTGGCTACTGGTTGCTGGATGGTGTTTGCAGTTGGTACCAATGCAAGGGCCAGAGAATCGGATGATGGTTGAGCCTGAATCGGGAGAATCCGGGGACGAGAGAAAAGATGGGCGTTGCGAAGATGGTTAGCGGCTTCGGCGGTTCCAGTGGATCGATTATCACATAATGGACAATTGACGATACGGTAGGCATGGTCTGAGTCCGTTTCGGAGCTAAAAATTAATTTTTAAACATTTGTAGTTTGTAGTCTTTGTAGATGTTTTCTCACCCATGCCAATGTTCACACAACAAATCCAAATTATCGTATAAATGATGACACACTTCACATCGAATCGGTGAGTCTCCAACCACTGTTCCTCTTCCCTGATGATTGGAATTTTGATTGCTCACCGCTGGAACCATTGGAGCATATTGCATCTCTTGCTCATTCTCTTCTTCCGGATCCATCCATTCGGTAACCGAATGTGCCCGATTCGCATGCTCATCGGGATGCTCGCCGGCGATACCGTACTCTGCGAATGATTGAGCAGACATTGCCATCGATCGGTCGACATGAACGACGCATTGATAGTTGATGTCTCCTCCGTGGCACGTTCGGGTGTGTTGTTTTAGAGCTACTCGGCTATGAAAGACTTGGGGACAATGGGCACATTGTACTGGTTGACGATCGTGTACTTCTTCCGCGTGCATGGAGAGGAGTTCTGGAATTTTGGAAATCGAGAAGTTCAGAACTCCAGAGTTCCAGAATCTTAGAACCTCAAATCTCCGGAATACCAGAATTCAAGAATTCCGGAATATTAGAATCTCAGAATTCCGGAATTCCAGGATTTCCGAGTCTTAGAATCTCAGAATTTCGTATTTTCAGAATTCCGAAATGTCAGAATACCGGAATTTTCAAATTTCAGAATTTAAAAATTACAGAATTTCCAAAATTTCAACAATCTAGAATTACAGAGTATCAGTGTTTCAGAATTTTAAAATTTCCGATATTCCAAATATCCAAAGTTCGGAATTCAGGAATTCCAGAATCTCAGAATTTCTGGTTTTTCAAATTTCAAAAGTTCGGAATTTCAGATTTTCAGCATTACAGAATTTCAGAATCTCAGAATTCCGGAATACCAGAATTCCAGAATTCCGGAATACAAGAATTTCAGAATTCCGGAATTCCAGAAACTCAGAATTTAAGATTTTCAGAATTTCAAATTTTCAGAATTCCGGAGTTTTACAATTTCATATTTTCATAATCTTAGAATTTCAGAATTTCAGATTTTTAGAATTCCATTTTTCAAAATTTCAGATTGTTCAAAATTTCAGAATTGTGGATTTTGTAGCTTTCCTGAAAGGCTTTTTCTACAATTTCTAGGACACATATTGTTGAAAAGTGAGCTCGAAACATTTTTTTGGGCTTCAGGCTTTAGGCTTTTAGGCTTTAAAAAGTGTTCCATTTGAAAAGGTACGGTGTTGCCAGAAAGGAGCCAAGCAGCACAAAAATCGAGTCAAGCCCCCTTGGCGCGATTCTCGAGCCAATCTTCCAAACTTACGGGCGGTCCTAAACGATTTATGGCACGTCCAACAGAGATGAGTCTTGCGTGGAAGATGTTGAGCACGATGTTCTTTGATCTGACGAGCGGTGGTAAGCCGTTGGGGTGGACGACATTGGCGGCAGATTACAACGCTGAGAAAATGAAATTACGGTGGATTACGGTAGGTGGAAGTCCGCAAACACCGATGTGAAGTTGCCTTACCGATTCGATGGAAGCATTTGATTTTTGGAGAATCGCCGATTGCAAATGTGATCTTCATATACTTGTCGAGACGAGAATTTCTGGAATTTTCAAATTTTTAATCGATATTCTCATTTCTTCTTACCTGATGACAAACACCACAAATAACCGAATGCTGTTCATCTTGATGCTGTCTCAATTCTTGAGGATTAGGGAAATTCAAATCACAAAGTGCACAATACGGCTGTTGATCCGAATCTCCATCCTCTTCGTTCTCTTGCTCCTCATAATGTTTCTGCATGTGCCATATCAGCGAGGCTCGGAGCACAAAACTTTTCTCACAAAAATCACATTTTCTCTCTCCGCCACCTTGCAAATCTCTCCATCTGTATTCAGATGCCAAGTGCGTTCTCATGTGCATCTCCAGCGATTTCTTGCTAGTGTACTCTCGTCGACACGCCTTGCAAATGTGTCGTTCGCAAATCGGAGCAACTGGAAATTGTTATAAATTTGGGAATTTTTTATATCGTAAAACCTGTAATAAAAGGGCCCCCTAACTTTCAAATTCAAGTCAAGTTATCTCGGTTCCTGTTGAAGATATGAAAAAGTTCTCAACTTATAAATAATCTATCATAATATCACAAGCATGTTATCAGTTGACACATTTTTGATATCTTTTAAAGGAGCCGAGATAATCTAGTTCGAAGTTGACAGTGTGGGTGAGGCCCTTCTATTACAGGTTTTACGGTATTCCAGAATTTTCTCCTTACTCATGCCTGGCCGCAAATAAGACGTATTATTATGTGCCGATCGTTTGTGTCTAGTTAGCGATCCTTTCGTGTTGAACACTGTCGGACAGTCTGGACACTGATATTTACTCTGATCCTTGGGATCTTGATCCAGCGGATGGATAGAGAGCATGTGACGATCATGGTTGGATTTCTTGGTGAATGAAGTGCCACAAATTTGACAGATGTACTGTTTCGGATTGCCATGAACGTTTCTGCTGTGCTCGGCGAGCCCTGTTCGATGCGCGTATTCTTTGAAACAAATCGCGCATTTCCATTTAGGAATCGCTGGAGTTTCAGGGGTGACTGGAATCTGGGCGGCATCTGAATTGGAAAAAGTTGAAATAATTGGATAAGTGAGCGCTTACAATTTCTAATATGTATCATTGTGTGCCGGGCGAGCTCCGCCGGCCTCACAAATGCCTTTTCACATTCATCGCACTTGAATTTCCTCTCTCTGACTGCTGGTTTCCTTTTCTTTCCAGCTGGCGACGACTTCGTTTGTAATTTTGACAAGAGATTTTTCGGGTTTTTCGCAGAAGGAGGAGCGGATTTTTGAGATGCCTTTGTGTTCCTCTTATTTCTCTGCCGCGTTTTTACTTTACTGAAAATTTGAATAGTGTCTTTCTGGTCTGATTTCATTGCTGACGAAAATTCGAGGGTGTGCGGAGTTATTATTTCTAGGCCTATTCTTCGATTTTTTTGATTATTTTTTTTTTGCGGGTTTTGCGGTTTTTCAGATTTTTTTTGTGAAAAAAACGTCGAAATCGATCAAATTCATAGAAAATTCGAAAAAAAACCTTTTTTATACGATTTTCTACGATTTTTCGGTTCGATTTGGGACTTTTTTTTCTTAACAAAGAACCGAAAAATTGCAGAAAATCGCATAAAAATTATATATTTTTTCGATTTTTGATGATTTTCATTGTTTTGATACGATTTTTTTGAGATTTTCTGGATTTTTTGAAGGAAAAACTTCAAAATCGATGAAATTCATAGGAAATTCGAAGAAAAAAACTTATTTTTAAACGATTTTTCGCGATTTTCCGGATCGATTCGGATTTTTTTTCACTGAAATTCGAAAAATTGCAAGAAAAAATCATTTAAAAATTTTGAATTTTTTATTCGATTTTTCCATAATTTTCACTATTTTTATGCAAAATTTCGCGATTTTTAATAATTACAAAAGTTCAAAATCGGTTAAACTTGTCGAAAAAGTGAGAAACAATTTTCTCACATAAATCTGACAAATAGCAAAAAAATTGCATAAAACAAGGAAAATTAAATATCGAAAATTCGAAAAAGCCAGGAAATTACGAAAAATACATGCTCCTTTAAGAATTTAAGCTCCGCCCTTTCTCGAATTCTCACTAAAACGAACTTTTCTGAACTGTGCAACAAACTATGTGCCACAGTCTCCTCCAACGGAATCACTTTTTGACATTTGGGACAAAACGAGAGCTCGTAAACCTCTTCTGAATGATCACGACGGATATGAAGATTGCGTTCTCGCTCGTTATCAAACTCTAGACCACACTCTGCACAAGCCAAATGATCAGCCTCGACGTGGATTTTCAGATGTCCAATGTAGGCCGAAAATCGAGAGAATTTGGTGGGATTCGTCTGTTTAGGGTCCGTTTTACAGAATGGACAAACTGTTCCCGATTCGAAACTCGTCGAGTCGGAATGTTCCAGAATCTTGTGAACTCGCAGGTTCTTCTCAAAATTGAACTCTAGATCACACAAACTACACTGGAATTTCGGTGGCTTCGATCGCTGGCAAGTGTCCAGGTCATGTCGATTCGTGTCCTCGATTTTCGAGTGACAATCCATGCAATAAATATCGGGACGATCGATTTCATCGTCGGAATCTGAATCAGAAGATTCAGAGGAATCTGTGAGATCTTCCTCTTCTTCTTCTGATTCCTCTTCAAATTCTGGCACAGTTTCATATTGAACCACTTGTTCTATAGGTTGAACGCTTTGATAGCTCTGATTCGGATGAATTTGAACGTTATGATCAATTATCTCTTGATTGGGATCAATTGGAATATAATCTAAATCGAGTAGCTGCTGCTGCTGATCCTGCTGTGCATTATAATTGTTGTTATTCACTACTACCTGCTCTTGATATGTTGGTTGGAACTGGAAAAGTCGGTTTTTCAGAGTTTTGGGAACAAATTCTTACATCAAAATGATCGTCAAAACTATTATACTGATATGATGGATCGGCAGGTTCTGATCTGACGCTTGAAGCGTTCTCATGTCTTATTCGATCCCATGACGCGTTGTGACGTTCCCGATATTGTTGGGATGGGTCATAGTCCATTTAAAGCTAGGAAATTTTCTGTTAGGCTAGTCAAACATGACGTTATAGATACTGAAAAAGGCCGACTCAAACAACATAAACTATACATTTTGGAAAAAAATAATTAATTTTATACATATGAAATACATGAGCTGTGGAATGTGACGAATCTAGTTAACAAAGAAAGCAAGCACCAAATAAATAACAAGATCGGATCAAAATGCGTTTTTCAAATTAGACAACGATGGTAGATCGGGCAATTTGATGTCTTTCAATTGCTGCGAAATGTTCATATTCTTCACTGCTGATACTGCTCGGGCAGGCGCCGCCGTGATTCCCGCTTCTTGTTTTTGAATCTTGTCCTGTTCTTGAATCCTTTGTAATATCTCATTCATATTCGTCTCCAGCACCATTCCGCCCATTACGATCTCTCCGAGAATGTGATGAACACGATCCACGTGGAAAATTAGGTCTAGCTCGCAAACGTTCTCGAAGCAGCGATCGAGGGTTTCGACGAAAACCTATAAAAATATTGTCGGACGCATTATGGAATTCCGGAATTTACTTGAATTAAATCGAGAATTCCTAGCTCTGATTCTGACGAATCTACACAGAAAATGAAGTAGAGTGTTGCGTAGTGTCGATAGATCAGACGATAATCGTTGCCGTCAATCAAGGTGCCACCTTCCAAAAAGTTGCAGACATTGTCGTCACGCTTCGATACTAGCTGGAATGTTTCTCGAACGATTTGCTGCTGCATTTCCTCCGAATAGTGCTGATAGAATTTGAGAAGACGTGGTTTCCCATGATTGTTGATGACAAGAATCGCTTTTATCATTTGAAAAGAGAAAAAATGAGTGGAGCGACGGAGAAAAAATTCAAACAGATTAAATAAGCAAAAAATTTAGATTAAATAAGCGAAAAATTATTTGAAAAATTCAGCAGAAAACTATCGACACTACAATTCTAAACTGACACAAATTTTGAAAAATTCAATTTTCAACAATTCTAAAGCTTTCAATTTATGTATTATAGTGTTCAAACTTCCTAAAATTGAAAAAAAAACAATTTTTAATTTCTCTACAGAAAAATTCTCTAAAAATAACCGGAAAAATCAAAATTCTAGCGAAAAAACGCCAAAAATCAATGAATTCTCTGCAGGCAGAACCCTCGGCCCGTAAATCGACACACAGTCGCGGCGAGACCCGCGAGGCGAACTACGGTCGAGTGTGCGCCTTTAATCTCGCAATTCGCCATTATTTTTAGGCCTTTTTCTCTTTTCGAACATTTTTGGCCTAAATTTTCGCGATTTTTTCAGAAATTTTTTAAAAAAAAATCAGGATTACCTTGAAGAATCATAAAAGTAGCGTTTGACCGAAGGATTTTCGTAAAACATCGTCAAAATTTTGATTTTCAAGATGGATTTTTTTTTCAAATTTTAGTTTAATTGCGAATTTAACTTTCTAGATTTTGACAGGTCCATCTGTAAAATGTCGCTCCGAATTTCGACTTTTTCCGCAATTTTTTGCTTGTCTTTGCTAAATAATTAATATCAGGTGTTCCAGGTAATCTTCCTTGTCGAAATGACGAAGGTTCACTATTCCCGGGCACCGGAAAACAGCACCAAGTCGTGCAAGGCTCGCGGATCCGATCTCCGCGTTCACTTCAAGAACACCCATGAGGCCGCTATGGCTCTTCGCGGTATGCCACTCAGACGCGCTCAAGCTTTCCTCAACCACGTCAAGGAACACAAGGAGATCGTTCCATTCAGACGTTTCCACGGAGGAATCGGCCGTGCCGCTCAAACCAAGCAATGGAACACCACCCAAGGAAGATGGCCAGTCAAGTCCGCTGACTTCCTTCTCGATCTGTTGAAGTGAGCTTTGTTTTATTGTGGAAGATCATTGTGCGGCTAGATAATTTCGGTTCTTCCATCTGCAAAATTTAATTAGCAAATTCAATTTGTTTTTTTTTCAGGAACGCTGAGAGCAACGCCGAGTACAAGGGACTCGATGTTGACCACCTTGTCATCGAGCACATCAACGTTCAACGCGCAGCCAAGCTCCGCAGAAGAACCTACCGTGCCCACGGAAGAATCAACCGTAAGTTTTTCATTTCTTTGGGCGTTTATTCATCACATGAAGATATGTTTCCCAACTTATTCATGCAGTGTCGAGAAATGTCGTTTCTCCGCCTATTTTTCGCATTTCTCCTCGTTTTTCTACATCGCAAGAATAGGTTTAAAAAATTATGTGACATGAAAAGTCTCAGTAGTTAGTTTTTGAGAAAACGAGCATCTAACTAAATTCCATTTTTTTCAGCATACATGTCCTCTCCATGCCACATCGAGGTCATCTTGGCCGAGAAGGAAGACGTTGTCTCCAAGCCAACCGATGATGTTCCAAAGATCAAGAAGGAGTCGAAGAGAAAGCAACGCCGCCAGTTGGCCCGCGGAGAATTCTAAGTAAATTCTTGTTGATAAATGTTTTGTTGGTTCGCAAAGTGTTATATTTTATCAAAAAACAAGCACAGTATTGGGTCAGAGAATATCGTTAAAAACTAGAATTCCGGAGATAATGTCAGTAAATGTCAGATGTTGCCCGTAAAAAAAACTGTAGCCCAAGCAGTTTCCATTCTCGGTCGTTCTGTGTCTCCAACAGAGCAGCTTGCTCTGATCAAGAAATCCAATGCAGATCGTGAAATCAGAGACCTTCTCCGACAGTGCCTCATCTCTGCAATGAACTTCGAGTCTTCCAGCAAAGAAAGTTTAGAAAAATCGAAGACTCTTGTTCGAAAAGCCGGTGACACTTGCGAAATCAGCTCTCGTTCTGCCGCCTTCACAGCGGCGTCTGCAATGAAACTCAAAAAATGGAATGAAGTGGATGAGATGCTTCAGATGGCCACATATTGCCCACCGGCGATCACTAGTTCGATTCGAGTGAAATCCCTCGCTGAACAGTCTAAATTCAATGAAGCACTGGCCGAACTGGAGAAGGTGCTCATGTTTGAAGAAGAAGTTTTCTCCACAGGAAATTATAGTATCAGTGATGAAGCCGTGAGTTGAAAACATTCTAGTTATATTTAAAGTCTTTATTTTTCAGTTGGATGCTCTTTGCGACGCCATCAAAGCCGAGCCAGAGTCTACAGAGAAAATGAAACGATTTCGTAATCTACAAAGACTGGTGACAAAATACGGTCGGCGAACTGATAAATCAATTGAAGACTTGTTATTCAGCCCGCTTCGTTTGGAAAATTCCGTGCCAGAAGCAGAGAAAGTTGATCCAGAATTTATGAAATCCCAAAAATTCCAAGACTTTGTAAAACAGATTCCCTATTTGAAGGATGAAAAATTGAAGTTGTGAAAACGGTTAAATCAAATAAAATTTTCAAAATTCATTCATTTTTCATCGAATTCCATTAACCGAGTTATGTCATCACATGGCAAGCGATTTCTGCTCTCCGCCGCCAGTTTTATCGAGTAGTGTCGACGTTTCAGTCGATGTTCCAGTAGTGCCACCAGTTGTACCAGTTGTTCCCATCACCGATTCTCCAGCCGTCGTTCCACCAGTGGTTCCCTGCACCGTTACGTCGCCAGTTACAGTGTTTCCAAATCCAACGCCAGTGATGCCTCCAGTGGTTCCTGACGCATCGCATCCGTATCGTTTGTACATTCCACGGTACCTGGAAATCCCAAAAATAGAAATTTCGAATAATCAAAAAAAATCCCTACCAAATGGCAAAGACAGTTCTCCGAAGCGCATAGAAGAGTCCAGCTCCAATACCCAGTGTCAAAAGTGTTCCAATCACAAATCCAATATAAATTCCCCATGTCCACCATTTGCCTTCCACGTACAACGCTTTCGAGAAGGCGTTCGTCTCAAAAACATCCTTACCACCGACGAGTGCATCTGGAATCGCACGTGGCGCCGCCTGAGTCGTCGTGAGAGGGAGATTCACGGGTGCGATGGTTGTCGTGGTGGTGACGACTTCTGCTTGAGGAGCCGTGATTGGGATCTTCGACGTTTGATTGTACGGCGCTCCCATTGTCACACTTTGCGATCTGGTCAGGGTTCGGCCATGTTGAATGTTCTGAAATCAAATTAGAAGAGAATGAGTAATTTTGAGGGTTCAAACCAGTTCAAAGTCGAAGGAATCTTTTGAAACAAAAATGGGCGGAGCTTAACAAAAAGGGGCGGAGCTTAAGTCCGATGATCCTTAATGGAGGGCAGACAGCAAAAATTTCGGGGAAAATTTCAGGGAATGTGTATTTTGCCGTCGCGGTGTTCGCACCTAAAGCACGCAATCACACGCGCAAACATTTTTATTTTTTTATTTCCCGACTTTATTTTTAACGACTTCAAACATTAAAAAAGCTCTTTTTTCTTATTTATTATAAAACCCATATAAAAGCGAATTTTTTATGTAAATTTAAAGTTCTATCGACCGATTATTTTGCCAGTCGCCGGTGTTTTTTATAGGCATGCGAAAAAAACTATTTTCTCTTCGATAACCGTTTCTTCACTGTTCCTATTTATCTCATTACTTCTCGTTATTACTGTAGGAATAAAAACTGTTTTATGACTAGGGTTTTCAGAGACGTCTCCATTTTTACTGCTTCCTTCACCTTCCGACGACCAGCCCTGCACGAGGATTGTTTTAATTATGTGGTTTTTTTTTTCAATTGTTATGTCTATTTCTAAAAATTAATTGTAGTTTTTTTCATAATTTATTTGTTAACATAATAAAACAAGTTTCTTCATTTTCAACTGATTTTGGTACCTCGGAGCGAGGCCTCGGCGGCACGCTGGTAGCCCTTCAGAAATTCCGAGTTCAAAAAGTTCAATCCGAAGGAAACAAGGGAAGAAAAAAGTAAAAACACCAGCAGGGATTGAACCTCTGACCTCCTGAATACTAGCCTAGAGCGTACCCACTACACTACGCGTGTAAGAGGCGACCACCGCGTTTTTCACATTATGAAGCGACGCCGCAGCAGCAAGCTAGTGAAGAAATTAGGGTGACAAAAAAGAGCATTTTTTCGTCCTTGAAGTGTTTTTTTTCAGGTTTTTAAGTACATAGCTATATTTATACTTCAGAGTTATATCTTTTCAGTAAAAATGAAAATTTTGAAATTTTTGATGTCTACCCTCCTTTAAAGGAACAGGTGATTACTTCCTGGCCTAATTATTTTTCGGTTTTTCGACGAATTTTATCAATATTTCGATAATTTTCATTGTGTTTATTGATTTTTGTAAAAAATTGTTTTTTTTCGGAATTGTTGAAAAATTTCTTTTTTCAACGCTATATTTGCGATTTATCGGATTTTTGTGAAAAAAATTTTTTTTAAAAACTTTTTTCAACAAAAATCTGGCAAATCGCAACAAATTGCTCTAAAAAAAGAAAATATTTTCTCGAAAAATCGAAGAAAGTATTTTGCTACCGGACTGGATCTCCGCCCACCGTCAGGTTTTCAGCGGCAACGCTCATTTAAATCAAGAAACCAAAAATACCTTCGAGAAGATTCCAGCTCTCGGTGCCAAGCAGTCTTCCGTCGGGAAAAAGAACGCAAGTTTCGTCGAATCCTCAGCCGAGAATCCAAGCGAATCACTTGACACAATCTCTCGATGATCGTTTCCAATGTAATACTCGGCTTGTTGCTTTCCATTGATATCGATTCCATAACCGAATTCGATGGCCAATGGATAAGCCTTATCTCTGTGTGGATGGTCAAGCTCAATGAGCGAGGAACGTCCCGTATTTGGCCATGTCACAATTCCACTCTGCACATTCACATCGATGATTTTCTGAGGGTCACATTTGGGAACAACACTGTCATCACTATGACTTTCAGGAGCGATACAGATTCTAAACGCCGTACATTTTCGAGTGTCCATTCGAATTGTCATTTGGTATGCATAAGGGTGCATGGAGTACTTGACAACTGATCCAACGTCACAAGCAGTTAGACAATCCTTATAATTCATTCCATCCATTGAGGTGATCGATTGGAAGTTGTATGGGGTACGAGTGCCACTAGAGGGAGCGTGTTCTCCATGGTAGAAAGACGATCGCTTGTTTCGAACCTTCTCTCCTGGTTTCAACCATCTTGGCACTTGAATAAAAGTTCCGCTTTCTTCAATTTTGGCACTGAGATCTTCATAAGTCTTGTAGCATTTTCCTTCGTTGGCGAAGAGTACTGAACCAGTGGCTTGCTGAAAAGAAGTGCTTATCAAACTTGAAATCGTCATAGCTTCTTTCGAAATAGGTATTTTTTGACCAGCTAAAATGGATATCACAGAACTCAACATGTACTACAACGTGGTACTATTTTGAAAGTTGTATCTTGTTTGTGAACAAAGTTACAAGCCAAAAACTGTCTGAGCTATGAGGTCACAGCTTTAAGGCTTGTAACTTTGTTCATAAACAAGGTACAGTACTCCAAATATTATCATTTTGTAGCTCTTGAGTTTTTCTGTCATATCTAATTTTGATCCTAAAAGCAACTAAGGCGGGGATAAGTTTTCCAAGAAAAGTTCCACAACTACAAAGTTCCACAAAAAGCCACAACTTCAAAGTTACCCCCCACTCACATCTGAAGAATATCCAGCCTTTTTATTCTTGCACACGTTTGTCTCTGGCTTCTCCGGATCCGCAGACATCACCTTCACATCCTTCTCATCCACCAACATCGGTGGTTTCGATGGAGTTGGAGATCCATTATACTCGTAGTACGCCTTAACATCCATTACTCCGATTTGTGTTCCAGCAGCCGGATAGTCTTCCGAAGAGCACGTGAACATCTCACACTCCTGCTTCAAATCTCTCTTCCATTGTTTATAAATCGCCGGAGATCCATCCAATGTCACAATGACACGATCCGGAGATGGTTCACAGACGACATGGACACCTGCACCGGCACTATCTACCATTTGAGGATTCAGATAATTTGTCTGTTTCTTTCCACATGTGACATAGGTCTCAGCATTGTAGTTCTGGTTTCCGATGTATGCTCCAAAGGTCCCGAAGCCGTCCTTGAGATTCGTGAGGTCTGGAGTGAAGCCAACGCCAACTGGAATGTATGCAGTTGGCAATGGATTACTACGCATTGATCCATAATCTGTTGGAATTTGTCCATGACAAATCAATGGGAGTAGGAGGAGAAGGGACAGTGGATGAGGCATTCTTGATTTCAGCTGTCCAACTGAAAATTGGAATTTTAGAAAAAACAAATTTCAGAAAATGTTTTACCTCTCATAAACATTGGCAAGTGTTCTCTTGTGTTGTTTGGATTTGATTTCTAGTAGAATCGAATATTGGTTTTACTTTGACATGTACTGGTTTCGATTTTTCTTGGGGAGACCCCGATGAGTCGGCTTTAAAGTTCACACGTTTTGAAAGGTACTAAATTTCTTGAAATACCGTAAACACTTGAATAGAAGCCATATACATCCATTTGAACTCAATTATCTCGATTCTTGTTAAAGATATCAAAAATTGGTCAACTGATAAAATAACTGTGATATTATGATAAATATTCTATCAGTTGACAACTATATTTTATCAGTTGACAACTATTATGATAAATAATTTATCAGTTGACAACGAGATAATTGAGCTCAGGATGTGTAAGTATGTTGGGGACGCATTCAGCCGACAGCGCGCGGCGCTGATCGAACAAAATTTGAGCTCAATTATCTCGGTTCCTTCAAAAGATATCAAAAATCTGAAAGCTGATAAATTATTAGTGATATTATAATAAATAATTTGTCAGTCGACAACTTTTTTGTATCCTTGACAGGAAATGAGATAAATGGGCTCAGAGGAGGGCTCTTCTGTTATAGGTTTTACGGTGTGATTTGGGAGACGTGTTTAGGGATACTGTACTTTGATATTTTGAGTTTAAGAAGTTTCGAATTTTCAATATAACTTTTTTTTTGATTTTGTGGGTTTGGGGATTCTCATATTCTACAACTAGTTTATTGCTGTATTAGGGCTCTGATTCGGGATCTTTGAAGCTTCTGTATTAGGGGAGTTTGCCGAGAGACGATGACCACCAGATGAGGGTTCCAGATTGGAGAGAAGATAAACCATCTTTGGCAGCGGGGAGGAGGTTGGAGGAGGCATCGGTTGTTTGGCTCATCCGCGAGCATCAGCTGTTGAGATCCTTCGTCAGCGAGTCCAGTGTTGCGGAGATCCTTTGGAAGTCACCATTGCCTCAGATGTCTTGATATGCTGAGATTCTATCAAGTTGTGGACTTCTGAATTTGCTAACTTAATTTTAATTTTCTTCAGGTTTTTTGAATCCTAGGGTTCATTAATCCCTGAATTCTGAAATTTCCAAATTTTGTGATATTGAAAACTTCAAGAATTACGACATTCTGAAAACTCGAGACCCCTAAGATTTTGAAATTCTGAGATTCTGAGATTCTGAAATTTTGAGATTCCGAGATTCCGAGGTTCTGGAATCCCAGGATTCTGAGATTCTGAGATTCTGAATGTTTTGGGATTCTGGAAATTTGAATTTCAAGGATTCTGATATTCTGAAATTCTGAAATTCTAAGATTCTAAGTTCGGGGCTTCTGGCAATTTCAAATTTAATTCAATTTTCAAATCCTTGGGTTTATGAAACCTGGTATTCTGAAGTTCTCATTTTGAAAATTCTGGATCGTGAAATCTCAGATTTTTAATGACTAATTCTTATATTTGAGTTTATAAAAATTTTAAAAGGTTGACATTTCTGCTCCTATGATTAAACCTAGGCCACGGCAGCGGGCGCCTTTCCTACGTGGCAAATTTTCCGGATTTTTTTCAATTTCATGTCCGGCAGGTAAAAAAACGTAAAAAACCACTGTCGGCGACTTGAAAAAAAGGCTGTCAGGTGCCGTGGCCTAGGTTTCTCACTGAAAATCCTCGTCCCCCGGCGGCACCTTTTTTTGAATTTTCTTCTTTTCAATGCCGTTTTTTGGGAATTTCGGATTTTCTTTGAATTTTTTCGCAATAATATTCGGAAAATAGATAACTTTTAACACATTATAATGCAATAAAAATTTCTGGTCGGAGTCCCCCTTTAATAACCATCATCATTCTATCTGTCTCCCACTTCCCAATCCAATTCATTCCAATCCGTTTTCCATTACTCCGTACTTCATTCGTCGTGCTCTCCGAAATTATTAGTTTGTTAGAACTAAATCAAATGTATGTTTGCTTTTATTCGGTTTAATATGTGCTAGATGCTTTCATTTTCAGTGTGACTGCTTCTTTATGCTTTATGCCGAAAAAGGGAGACGTCTTTTTAAAAACCATTATCAACGAAGGAAGCCAACGAAATGGAGGTTATCCATGATCGCTCTTTCCGCTCAGGGGAATGTCGACATTATCACTCGTACAGTCAACAGACAAATTGAAAAACAGACAAGTGTTATGGTAAACGTTTTGTCAGTTGACGGTTTTTGTTATCTTTCACAAGAGCTGATAGTGAGAAAAAATCACTCATCTGAACATGATTTTATGGTAAACGTTAGTATGAAAAACACCATTTTCTCGGCCCTTTTAGTAGGTATTAAAATGGAGTCAAATGATAAAATGTTACTTATGTTATTACTAGCATGGTTTTAGTCGACAACTTATTGATATCTCTCACCGAAATCGAGATAATGAGGCTAACTAGGGAACTATCTGAGCGGGATTCCAAGTTACACTTCATGACCTATATCATCAGAAAGCCCATGAAATTCTAATTCTGAATACGTTTTCTGGTTTCGCGAAACGGCGGTGAGCTTTGAGAAAATTAGGTCAGAGGGTGATTTTCAGTTGATTTTCAGGCTGTGTTTAATTTTTTTTTTAATTTGAAATAAATATATCACGCGTGAACGAAAATGAATTTTTTAAGGCAAATCTACAGTAATCTGATTGCTTCAAATTCTATCAGGGGTCTCAATTCTGATTTTTATGAATTGATTTTAGTGTCAAAAATCGGTCGTAAAATTCTGAACATTTTCTACCTATTTTCATCATGATTGAATCAGCAGATTTTTTGGAAATCCCCGAAAACCTTCAAAAATGACGAAATTCAGTTGATTTTTTAGAAAATCTATCAGGGCTTTTATTTTTGGGTCAAAATAGACGTTTTTTAGTGATATTACAGGTTTTACGATATAGGAAAGGGGGAGTTTCAAAGTTTTTTAAATCGTCGATTTTTTTCGTAAAAAGTTTGCTTTTGTGTGCTTTTCCAGGAAATATATTAGAGACAATAAAAGTAGTCTTATCTGTTTTTATTTTTCCAAATTCACAAAAGAATATGGTTACAATAGTGATTAATTTATAAATTTTTACTTGAAAATTATTTATTTAGATCATTAATTATAAAAGAGAAAAAACACAAATTTATTGAAGAACACAGAAAGCCGTCTGGCGGGCGCGGACTGCCGAAAAGCGAACAGTCGGCTCGAGGGGCACATTTAAAAGGAATTTCGAGGACATTATTTTTTTTTCATGTCTCCCCACCTTTAAAGATATCAAAAAATGGACTGATCCATTTTTTTAATATTATAATAAACATTTTGTAAGTATATCACTTTTTGGTAACTTTTACAGGAAATGAGATATATGTCTACTTTCAAACAGATAACGGGCTTGGTTAATAGATCAGTGAGATAGTGGGCCAACACAGATCCAGGCATAACTACAATAGTGTTATCTGTATCTGATTGAGCATCATCATCCTCATCCTCTACTTCATCGTCATAATCGAAACTAGATGGCTCCGTCTGAGTATTCTGGGTCAAGTTTAGTCTCCGAAGATCCAAATGTATCATTTTCTCCTCATCGTCTGAATCCTCTTCGGAAATTCCATTCGATGTACTCTCCACGAATTCTTTTAGCGCATTTTCGGTGGTTTGATTGTTTCGAGCACTTTCTCTTCAACTCATTTCCCGATACATTTAGAGGGAGCAGAGCCTAGAAATGGTGAAAAACAGACTACAGAAGAAAAAGAAGGGGAGGGGCAAGAGGAGGAACAGGAAAAGATGAAACATGAGGTTTTACCAAATTTAGATGAAATGGTAAAATTTTTATAATTCGGAATAAAAATACATAGGAAGCAGTGCTGAAAAATTTATGTGAGAACTTACTATCTCAAATCACTTATCAAAAACTCAACAAAAATATCTTCTCAATTTCTCTCTAATAGAGTAATCAGATGTTGGAACTCTTTACCCGCCAATGTGTTTCCGGTAAAGCCCTCGTCAGCGGCTTTCAAAAATCGACTATTATCCTGTGATCTAATACATTTTCTTGTCTTGAATTCAACTAATTACTAACTCGGTTTTTCCTCCATCTCCCATTTAATACAAATGTATGTCCCTGTTATATCTCCTAGTTTCATAGACATTTCACGTGTTAGTGGTTTTCTCCCCTTCGTTGAAATAAATAAATAAATAAATAAATAAATAAATAAATAAACAAAAAAAAATAAAAAGAAAGAAACAATAGAATATGATATTCAATTTTTTGCTTTTTGGATAACAGTATTTTTTTCAATTTTGCAATAGTTAATAGTCATTTTATAGCTGAATTTTGAAATAAACAAATCTTGAGCTGATTTATGAAAAAGGTGAAATAGTGAGAACTGACGAAACTTTTACATTTTAAATGTTATCCGTGAAACTGTGAATGTTTGAAAAATAATTATATTAAGAAAAAGTGAAAAACGATTATTCACTTATTTTTTATGGAAATCCGGGCATTTTAAATGTTTGAATTTCAAGGAACTTGATGTCCGAATTTCAGAAAATTCACAATGACAAATTTCTGAAATTCTGTGAATCTGGAATTTTGAGTTTGATTGTTTCCCAGATTCTGAATGTTTCTCAGCTTTCAAGGATTTTCAGATTTGGGAAGTCCATGACTCTGAATTTCTGAAAGTCTATGATTTAGAAACTCAGTTATTCTAAAAATTTCTGAAGAATTCTGTTATTTTGTTGATCGAAAATTTTTAGAGATTCTGAAAAAAAAATTGTCGTTTTACAAAAATTTATTCGTCATTTCACAAGAGAAAAATAGAGAAGTAGATGAGAGTGGGATAACATTTTCTATGCCTAGAATTCATAAATATACAGAAAAATCAATAAAAACTCATCGATCGAATATGCTCTTTGTTTCGTGTTGTTTGCACAGACCGGTAATCAACTGGGAACGAAAAAGTAGATGAAAATGAAAGAAAAATGACAATTTGGGAGAGAAAAATGAATGGAAAATCGAATGAAAGAGGGGAGAAAATGGGAAAAAGAGGGAAGGAACCCGTTATTTTATAGAACACAAAAATTGAAATTTGAAAAATAACACAGGGATGAGTGAAAAAAGGAGCAAAAAAGGAATTAGATTGGTTGATGTTCGCTGGAACTATGACACGAGGAGACGACTCCACTATCATTGGTTTCCAGTAAATATTGCTCTTCGAGAGGAGCGAAAACATAAAGTGGAACTGTTCGATAGAGCGCATCTCGTGCATCACATCGTCCGAGTTCAACAAGAATTCGACACAGATTTCCGACACTGGCTTGCTCCGGATGGTGGATGGCCCACTCGTTGAGCAATTGGTCGGTTCGAGATAGGGATTGACCTGTTGAGTCGACCTGCAAAGATATGGAAACTTTAGAATTTTAATTTATGGAATTTGTAATCTTTCTAGTTTTTAGAGTTTTCGAGTTTAATGACTTTTAGATTACAATTTGGTTTTAGAATTTTCGAATCTCTTGTTGCTTGATTCCCGGTTTTATCAAGACTAAAGCCGACCGACAGCAGACCAACTTCTTGTATTTGCGTGTCAACTTTTGAGTGTTTGCGTACGCAGCATTTTGTTTCAAGACGCCGGACGGATTCATTGAATGGTGTGTCGTAAAACAAAATGCTGCCTACGCAAACACCGTCTGGCATGATGACGCGCAAGTTCATGAATTCTGTCAGCTCGGTCGGCGGTCGGTAGATCGGCTAAACTTGCCGACTTATTCGAGGTCTTTCTAAGTTTTTAGGTTCTAAAAAGTTAGGAGTTTTTGTTGTTTTTTGGATTTTTCAGATTTTTCTAAAGATTTTGAAGTTTTTAGATTTTCGGTTTTTTCCGAAACCTCTGAATTCCCTTAAGTAAGAATAACTCACATCCGGCACCTGATCAGTCAACTGAAGCTTGACCGCCAGAATCGACCAGTCCCTTCCCATCGCATGAGGTGGATCGAGAAGACACGCGAGTTCACAACGACTCGCCATTTGAAGATCCGCAACACCTACATCGATTCCAAGTGTTAGATGACGTGCCACGTCACGGGATCCAAAGCACACGACATCAGTGAACAATTCCTCTTCATCCTGAGTTCCTTTAACTGATAACGATTCTCTTTGTTGCATTTCCATCATAGCTTCCGGTGGGAAAAGAGCAGGATGTTCACGGTGTTCTTTGAGATGTTTTGGACTGATAAAGTGTCGTTCGAGACTGATTCCAGGTCCAACTTCTGCTGCAGCATGTTCCACTAAATTGATAAGATCTTCCATGAAATAAAACATCGAAGTTGCAGTTTCAGATGGTCCACGGGCACGGATTTCAACGGCGTCTCCAACCATGCGAATGACAGCTTCACGATCCTGAGTGACCAGTTTGGAGCATTCGGACCATTGTTGGAGTTGTGTGTCTTTGGCGGGCTGAAAAAGTTATATGCTGAAGTATGAATGTTGATCAATAACCAAAATAAAAAATAACTAAGTTTCAAAACAGTAAAATTTTTTAATTACCTGATAATCATTAATACTCCTTCTCAACGCCACTTGAATCCTTGGAAATGTGCTATGAAGACTTCTCTCCATTCCACGCATCGGAAGAATTCTGACTCCTCCATAAACCGTGTCCCTCTCTTTCTCAGGCAATGAATACGGTCTCCAAATGGAATCCGGAGCTTCTGTCTGAATGAAAACTGGGAATTCATGAGCACCAGTTCTGGCATCTGGAGCACACAGTTGAAGCACTTCCAGAATTGTCATCAAGTCCGATTGTTCTGGGATTTCTGGGAAGATTTTGGCGAGTGATGAGGTGTGATAAGATCCGTTTGGACTGGCTTTTGAGAGGAATTCTGCACTGAGAAGTTGTCCGAGAACGTGAGTTCCGAACCATTCGGCATTCAGAACAACATAATCCGCATCACAAAGATCGTTTCGCAGGTAGACGAGCTGCAAAAAACATATGTGATTAGTGGTGCTTAAAGCTAAGCGTCCAATGGATATTATTAAATGATTCTTGATTTATTTTTATGCTGAAACATGAATTTTTTGAATTTTGAAAATTCAATTTCAGCAAAAATTTTTTCTTTGAGGTCTTTTGACCAGTGTCCAGAGAGGAATCTTAAAATATATGCTTCTTTAAAACATAAAATAGCAGAACGATCAAAAAATTTGAACTCCCGATTATGTTAAACGGCGAACCTTGAACAATATGAAACTTTTGAAACATTTTTTTCAATTTCGTTAAATTTCAAAACTTTTGATTTTCGAACATTTTCACCCTACAGTAATCCTTCAAATTTCTTACCTCTCCAATCAACTGCAATTGTTGTACAATCTGCCTACAATGTGCATCTCCAGTCAACGGATTAATCTCATCTCGAATCAATTGAGTGAAATCAGGCCAAGTGATAACTGGGAAATTCACGTGCTTCTTCCTAACCAGATTCAAATGAGAGACTACAGTATCCAGTATAGCCAATGGTTTCAGAAGTTTTGCCAAAATATTCGTTCGACACTTTGCCAATTCCATTTTCAACGTCTTCATTCCGACGCACGATGGATTCGTGGCATCGAGAAGAATCAAACGGTGGTCCATATCGAAATGGGTCTCAAAACGAAGTCGTACTGTATTTAGCATTGCTTCAATATCAGATGAAATGTATTCTCCTTCTTGATTCTTTTGTGGAAACAGTGATGGAGTTGCATGCGTTCCAACGATGATAACTTTGGAACGACGGGATGAGAATCCACAGTGTCCTGAAAATATAGAAAAATTGTAGTCTGGCTTTTTAGTGTAATAAAACTAATGTTTCAAAATTGCTGTGAAAGTAAATGAAAGTTTGATTTTCCTAATGGAAAGTCGTATTCCGTCTTGATGATTTGTAAATTTCAGGAGCTGCAATTAAGTTTCACTAATTCTTTTAAAGGCTTGGAAAAAATTGACATTTGACAACTACCGTAAAACCTGTAATAGATGTGCNGAATCGAACAACAATTCGTCTTACGAACTGTCAACATCTGGCAGCAAATACACTCCACCGCACTCTCAATACACACGAGGAATCGATGTACAAACTGTAAATGTTCAAGGATGTGGAGAGTTTTCAGTTTGGGAATTTGGAGGATACGAACCAATGCACACTTGTTATGATCATTTCGTTGGAAACTGTGACTGCATTCATTTGATTTTGTATAGAGCCAGTGATCCGACGGAAGTACAATACAAACAGATTCTCTATTGGATGAACTTCTTGAAAGGAAGAGTTACGCCGTTTGAACCGATTGGTGAGTTGAAAAGTCTTTTTCGAGAATGAATTAGTTTGTTGGGCTCGGACAAGAAATTTCCATACTCTCTGAAACCGCATTTTTCAGCTAACCTGATTTTGGTCTATTTATTTTACATTGTTTTACTTGAGTGCGGTTTCTCACCGAAATTTTATACTAAAACTACCATACAAAACGAAATCATATCTTGGTTCTTTTTTTGTGGAAAATACCGTATTTGCTCTAATACATAGAAGCCCACCCTATTACTTGAACACTTTGAGCTCCATTATCTCCGTTCCTTCAGAAGATATCAAAAGCTTGCCAACTGATAAATTGTTTATCATAATATCATCTATATTTTATCTTAGTTGACAAATTTTTATATCTCTCATAGAAACCAAACTAATTGAGCTCAAAGTGGACGTATAGAGTGGGCTTCTAGTGGAGTAAATACGGTAGTCAGCTTTGAAGTTCTGAAAAAGCATTTCAGAATTTTTCGATTTATCTGAGAATTCCAGAGCCCATTAAAAAAAATAGGGCTTCAATTTTGTATTTGGCAACTTTTTCTGTAAAATTCCAACGAAGCGAGAGAAGAGGTTTCAAAGTAGTCCAACTCCGATTTTCCTGTTAATTTTGACACTATTTGGGTTGCAAACGGCTTATCAGAATAGGAATCTGGGGAAAAAGTTGCCAATATTCCGAAAATTGATATACTGTGAAATTTATTTCATAAATGCCCTTTATAAATGGATTTCACCTCTAATAGAAGGGCGCCTCTTAAACTCATTTTCCGAGAAAAAAGTCTGGAGCAATTTTTCAGTAGTCCAAAATTGTCTGTCTTTCCCTGAAAAAGCCAAAATATGATACCGTAAAACCTGTAATAGAAGTGC